TGGGGTGTAAATCCAATCTCTTCTTCTAAATACCAGCAAGGTGAAATATTTCTATAGCAGGAGACCGTATCAAGGATAAATTGTGAATGCTAGGATGGGAACGTTTTGGCTGATGTAAGTTGCAATTCTAAGGCTATTTTCCTGGGGGGATGCCTCACTGGGTAACATTGGAGCTTATGTTTGTGTGCATCTGCTTGGCATTGCTCCCTGAGTCAGACTGTGGGAACAACCCTGAGCAGAATCACGTGGAAGTAAATATCATTTTATTCCGTGGGGCTTACTCCCACGATAGAGCTATTAGGGTTGCACTGTTTAGTTGACTTTGAGAAAGGACTAGACCAGGCGTGTCAGACATGCGGCCCAGGGGCCGGATCAGGCCCCCGGAGGGCTTCTATCATGCCCATGGTGGAACTGGCTGTCTTCTGCTTCTTCCAGTTCTGCTGCTGCTGCGTCAACATAAGTTTGCAGCTTACAGATACACACCTGAACAGAATACTCTTTAGATTGCAACAGCACAGACTTTTTGATGCAATAATTCAGAGCAAGAGGTGTCAGTTATCAGACACAGTTAAATAAACAAAATATTGCAAGAGTGCTAATGTTTTAAGCATGTTTTTATTTTAAGTTAAAAAAAACCCTTTGTGTTTGTGTCCTTTATAAAGTTTATATCTCCGCTACCTGGCATTCCATTTTATGACACACATGGCTCGGCCCAACAAGGTCTCATTTATGTCAGATCCGGCCCTCACAACAAATGAGTTTGACACCCCTGGATCAGACAGATTCACGGAGGATTGCCCTGTCTGTCCTTGCATAGGGCTTATTAGAGCAGTGTTTTTTGTGTTGTGTTTCTAGGAACCCTGAACTTTCCCAGAAGCCTCTCAATTCCCATAGGGTGACAGCCCGTCCCAGCCAGCCTAGCTAGCTCTCTTGTGTGTACATGCTGTGGGACCTCCTGCAAAACCAGGAGGTACCGCTCGAACTTTTAAATGTGTAAATGCCAAGTCGGCACCTTGTTTTTAGGCGGGAAAAAAACAGTCTTTTTTTTTTATTATTGAAAAATTGCACCGGGTAGTGTGTGTGTGTGGGGGGGTGGTGGTGCTGACAATCCGTCACTAGCCAATCAATGCTTTGTACACTTGTAGCAAACTGGCAAAATACAGTTCCCTTAAAGTTGCTTTATCCTGGAAATCAGACTGAATTTATGAGGAAAAGCTGTGATTGTGCTTCGGGGGGGGGAGGGGGGCTCTTGCTCCTGTTATGTAGGCTTGCCAATCTCTAGGTGGGGCCTGGAGCTCTCCCGGAGTTGCATGTGATCTCCAAGCAACAGAGATCAATTCCCCTGGAGAAAATGGCTGCTTTGGAGGGTGGGCTCTATAATGACATTATGTCCTGACTTCCCCTCCCCAGGCTCCACCCTCAGATCTCCAGGAATTCCCGAACCTGGAGGTGGCAACCCTGGTTCTTAGGTGCAGCTGCCAGCGCCCATAACGCCACTTGTTTATGGCTGTTTCTTTTGATGTCTGAAAGCCTTAAAATAAAAGCAAATGGGGGTGGGAAAGAGGGATGGTTCTTGTGAAAAAGCACACTACGATCCACGGGGGTGTTGTAGTCCAGCAGGTCTCGGAACTACATTTCCCATCACGCACTCTGGGTGTCTAATGTATGTTGCCTAACTCCAAAACCATTGACTTATTTTTTTCCTGGCAGGGGGGGAAAAGTACCCATGGTTTGGATGTGGGTAAATATAACCCGGATTTTATCCTCCTCTGTGCTGCCTGTAAATCTATGGTGTATTCCTTCGTTTCGAATCCCATTCCGCTCGGCTCACTCTTCCGTTGCACTCTGAACCCTGTGCCCTCCGCCCCGTGCTCATGTGCCATCCTTTCCCCCTCACTTCCTCCCTTCATATCCAGTCGTAACCCTGTGGCTGCCGTTGTATCCCTGGCTCCTGATGTGTTGTGATATTCAGTCCAAAGGGAATGCATTCCCTTTATGAGCCGTGGCGTTTCTCAAACTCCTGAACTCAGGATCCGGTCTGCGCATCCGGCAGAATGAGGTGACGGAATCCCGAGGTAATCGAAACGCGTTCTGCTACTTCAGACGAAAGGTGGGGAGAATCGCATGTAAAACGTCCCTGAAAATTAACAAATAAGTGCGCATCAAAGGAAGGGGGGGTGGAATCTAACTCAGCTCTTTGCATGCTGTGTTAATTTTCCACTTGCAGGGAGTTCCGAACGCAGGGGAGCGTTGAAAAACGTGACTCCCTCACTCCAGAAATGGTACAATCCCTTTGACCACCTCAGTTCTCTGTGGCCTCATTCTGCCGTGTGTACAGACCAGTCTGTAAATTTCCTACACCGCCTTCAAACCTTGTAGGCTACTTGAGTAGGCGACGGTGCCGCCCACATCTTCCTGGTCTCCTCTCTACTAGCCCTCTTCCTATGACGTTTTGTGTAGTTCCCTACACTCTATCAGGGTGGTATGGAAGTCTCTTTCACAGAACTAGGATACCCCCCAAACAGTGTTCCCTCTAAGCTGAGTTAGTGCGAGCCAGCTCACAGTTTTGTAGCCTGTGGCTCACACATTTTTGTCTTCGCTCAGGAAGGAGGGCTCCAGAGCAAACTAATGTATGCAGTAGCTTAATTGCTCGCTCACAACTTTCATGCCAGTAGCCCACAGAGTAGAATTTTTGCTCACAAGACTCCACAGCTTAGAGAGGGAGCATTGCCCCCAAACTGCCTCCCTGTACTTAGAAAGCTAGCGTGAAAGAGGAGAAGGGCTCATCAAGTCTCCTTGAGGTGATTTCCCCCCCCCCCATACGTAGGGACTTTATTTTGGGTTTGAGAGCCAGTTTGGTGTAGTGGTTAAGTGTGTGGACTCTAATCTGGGAGGCCGGGTTTGATTCCCCACTCCTCAAATTGCACCTGCTGATGTGACCTTGGGTCATTCACAAGCTCTGGGACAGCTGTCCTTGAAAAAGAGCAGTTTCTGTCACAGCTCTCTCAGCCCCACCCACCTCACAGGGTGTCTGTTGTGGGGAGGGGAAGGGAAAGGAGTTTGTAAGCCGCTCTGAGACTCCGAGTGAAGGGCGGAGTATAAATCCAACCCTTCTTCTTCTTCTTACTTTTCACATGGGAGTGTTTGAGCACCGCACCTGTGGGCCTGCCGTCAGAATCGACGCTTTGTCTCCATTCTGAGGTAATCGGTCCCACCACATTCAGATATCACCGTCCCATCTTACCTGAGTGAAATATGTGAGGCACAATTTGGCGAACCCTGTGCCTCTAACTGTTTAGATTCAGGTGCGTTATCCATATTGGTCTGAAGCAACAGAACAAAGTTTGAGTCCAGCGGCACCTTTGAGACCAACAGAGATAATGCTTTCGTATAAGCTTTCGTATGCATGCCTACTTGAGGATCTCATGCATCGATGTATCCGATGAAATGTGCCGGCACAAGAAAGTTTATACTCAGAACTCAAAACTTTGTTCTCTTTACATGCCAGCCATCAGTAAGTCCAATGAGGAGTATAAATTAAAGACCCAAACGAACGCAGAATTCTTTACGCTGCCCCCCACCTCGTGTTTGAGAAATGCCATCGTAACTCTTTCTTTAAATTCACTTCCACATCACTGCTCTGTAGACCCTTGTTTGACTGCATTCCTGAGGGGCCACTTCAGAATCTCTTTATCCACCAAGATCTTAAAATATGCGCTTCAAAGATCCTCTATTCTAGATTACCCTGATGCAGCTCAGTCAGGTGCCCGTTTCCTCTCACTTTCACTCTAGAAATTCCGACTGTAAGGTTGTCCTGATATAAAGATGGCACACGGAACAGTCAGCGCTTGATTTTTGCAGAGATCAGACCCGTAGATGATTGTTTGGTGTGGGGGGAGAGAGCATGGGTCACACTGCCGGTGGGGCGGGCTGTGGTGCCGAATGGACGATGGGGTGGGGGACAGGTTCTGCTGTTTGAATAAATTACCTGTGAAACCCATTTGCACGAATAAACCAGAGTTGGCCATCGCAGAACTGTGTGTGGCACTTTGGGATTTTGGTTTCTTTCTTGAGACGAGCCAGAACGAAGGTTCATAAGAGTGCAGCGACCGAGGAAGAAATGTAGAGACCTTGTCTGGGGATGGGACCGCTGTGCTATTAAAAAGAGAACCAGATGCGTGCGAGCCGAACCCAGTGAACTTCCCGAATATTCGGCAGGTGATTTCCTCCACGGCCACGAGGTCTCGAATCTTGTGTAAAAGCTCAAGGCTTGGACCTGTGCCTGCGCCTTGGCTTTAGGGTCTTAGGAATAATGCTCCCTCTAAGCTGTGGAGTCTTGTGAGCAAAAATTCTACTGTGTGAGCTGCTGGCATTGAAGTTGTGAGTGAGCGATTTGGCTACTGCATGAATTCGTTTGCTCTGGAGCCCTCCCTTCCTGAGCCGAGACAAACATGTGTGAGCCGGAGGCTAAAGCACTGTGAACTAGCTCACACTAACGCAGCTTCGAGGGAACACTGCTTGGAAGCCTTCCCACCACCCCTGACTTTCAAGACTAAGTTCCAATCTCAGCCTCATCCCGACCCGGCTCCCTATGACCATAACACGCAACGTTCATCTCTCCTCCTCTTCCCTTGTAATTCCACTTCGTTTCCACCCATTCTGGCCACCTCTCCCTCGCTTTTTCCGGCGGCCGTTAAAAGTGTTCAAACTCACTCAGTTCTCTCCTCCCCCCCTCCCCGGAATGGTGTCCCTCCCTGTTGCCTGTCTTGCTGTCATCTTAACCTGTCAGATTAAAGGACTGGGATCTAGGTAACGATTACTACCCTGCCTCTAATCGGACACCGTTGGACCCCGCCTCGGCCCAAGAGGCATCGGTTGCGTCTGTGTGTGCGTTTCGCGTTGGGGCGGGCGCTCTCTCTTCCCTTGTTTTCAGGATGGGATTTGCCCCCTCTGTTCATTCCCCTCCCTGCACCCTTTTGGACCGCCTGCAGATCGAACGTGTTTTGGTCCCACACCCCGTACCACCAGCTTCTTCTTTCTCCTCTAGCTTTCCAGAGTGCCCAGAAAGGTTGGTGGCCATATGGGAGAAGCTGCTGGAATGGGAGCTGCTGGAGCGTTGCGTCCCAGTGACGGTGAGAGGGTGGGAGAGAGCAAGACCCCCACCCCCACCCCCGACGGTTTTTAATCCCTCCTGCCTTAGAAGGAGAATGGGGAACTAGCAGGAGGACGAGAAATCTGGCTCCTTTTCCCACGGCCTGAGGTTGAGAGCCAGTTTGGTGTAGTGGTTAGGAGCACGGACTCTAATCTGGGAGAACTGGATTTGATTCCCCAATCCTCCACTTACAGCTGCTGGGTGACCTTGGGTCAGTCATAAGTTCTTTCAGAGCTGTTCTCTCAAGGTCAGCCGGACCTAACCTCACAGGGTGTCTGTTGTGGGGAGGGGAAGGGAAAGGAGTTTGTAAGCTGCTCTGAAACGCTCTTCTTCTTCCTTTACCTCACAGGGTGTCTGTTGTGGGGAGGGGAAGGGAAAGGAGTTTGTAAGCTGCTCTGAAACTCCTTTGGGTAGTGAAGGGCGGGGTAGAAATCCAGTCTCTTCTCTTCTTCTTCCTCCCTTGCAGGCTCGCGAAATCACTGAGGAGGAGATCCTTTTGGCTCACAGGTGAAGGCGGCTGTTGGAGGGCTGGGATGTGAACTGGGGAGGGGTGAGGGCTGCCCTTCCCAGCTGACCTCTTGCTTTTTCCTAACAGTCAGGAGTACCTGGCCCTAATGAAATCCACCGAAACGATGAGCGAGGCTGAGCTGAGGTCTCTGTCGGACACCTATGATTCCGTCTACCTTCACCCGGTGCGTACCCTCAGGACTGTGTGCACAAGCTGTTTTGGCATAGTGGTTAAAGAGTGGCAGACTCTAAACTGGAGAACCGGGTTTGATTCCCTACTCCTCCACATGCAGCCAGCTGGCATGACCTTGGGTCAGTCACAAGTTCTCCCAAGAGCTGTTCTCTCAGAGCTCTCTCAGCCCCACCTACCTCACAGGGTGTCTGTAGTGGGGAGAGGAAGGGAAAGGAGATTGTAAGCCTCTCTGAGACTCCGAGTGAAGGGCAGGGTATGAATCCAATCTCCTCCTCTTCCTCCTTGGAAGGCGGAGATCGGACATGTGGAATCTAGCATTTTTGCCCCCAAAAACCTCTAGCCCTCACACAAAAGCTTATACCCAGAATTAAACTTTGTTGGTCTCAAAGGTGCCACTGGACTCAAACTTTTGTGCCATTAAAATCTATATGAAGAAGAAAATACATGTCAGTAAATCGACATTGTACCTCAGTGGACTCTGGCAGCCGTACAGAATTGGGCAACTCTGTCGAGGTTTCAGATTCACGGTCTGCAAGAGGAAAGGGGGTATGACATTCCTCCAATATCCCCAGGGGTTTTTTGGGGGGAGGATGGGTGCAATTAAATGTGTATCTAAGTTCATTTCGGAAGGGGCAGTGCAGCAGCGCCCATCCCACTGTTTCCGTTTCCCCAGTGGCAGAAGGGCATAAGCACTCCTGAAAGGGCACACCACAACCTGAAGTTGAGAATGTTAGATTCTGCATCTGCTACCAGACATATTCTGACTGTATTATGTGTTGCCTTAGACGATTCAGTTTGGTGTAGTGGTTAAGTGTGCGGACTCTAATCTGGGAGAACCGGGTTTGATTCCCCACGCCTCCACATGCAGCTGCTGGTGTAACCTTGGGTCAGTCACAAGCTCTCCCAGAGCTGTTCTCTCAAGGGCAGTCCTCGAAAGAGCTCTCTCAGCCCCACCTACCTCACAGTGTGTCTGTTGTGGGGAGGGGAAGGGAAAGGCGCTTGTAAGCCGCTCTGAGACTCTGTTGGGTCTTCTTCTTTTTTCGCAGCGCAGAGCGAGCGCATTGAGCTGCTTGGTTGTTTCTCCCTTCCCAGAATGGGAAGACTAGAAGACCTATCAGGGTTCACTCAGGATATTGGTGGGGATGTGGGGAATTCCGTTTCACCGTACAGGAGGGGAAGCTTGTCACTCAGGTGGAAGATACCCGGTCTAACTCGGTTCTCTCTCTTTTCTGTCCCGCCCAAGAACTCCTACCGCTGTGCCTGCCTCGCTGCTGGTTCCGTCCTGCAACTCGTAGAGAAAGTGCTGACTGGGGAGCTCCGGAATGGGCTGGCATTGGTCAGGTATGACAAGAACATCAGAACAGCCCTGCTGGATCAGACCAGTCTTCAGTCTAGTCCAGCATCCTATCTCTCACAGTGGCCAACCAGTTACTCATAAGAAAATAAGAAGAGCCCTGCTGGGTCAGAGCAGAGGTCCATCTAGTCCAGCATCCCATCTCACACAGTGGCTAACCAGTTCCTCTGGAGGGCCAACAACAGGGCATAGAGGCCGAGGCCTTCATAAGAACATCAGAAGAGCCCTGCTTGGTCAGACCAGTGAGGGCCCTTCTAGTCCAGCATCCTGCCTCACACAGTGTCCAGCCAGTTCCTCTGGAGGGCCAACAACAGGGCAGAAAGGCCAAGGCCTTCATAAGACCAGTTCCTCTGGAGGGCCAACAAGAGGGCATAGAGGCCGAGGCCTTCATAAGAACATCAGAAGAGCCCTGCTGGGTCAGACCAGTGAGGGCCCCTCTAGTCCAGCATCCTGCCTCACACAGTGTCCAGCCAGTTCCTCTGGAGGGCCAACAACAGGGCAGAAAGGCCAAGGCCTTCATAAGAACATCAGAAGAGCCCTGCTGGATCAGCAGTGAGGGCCCCTCTAGTCCAGCATCCTGCCTCACACAGTGGCCAGCCAGTTCCTCTGGAGGGCCAGCAACAGGGCAGAAAGGCCAAGGCCTTCATAAGAACATCAGAAGAGCACTGCTGGATCAGAGCAGTGAGGGCCCCTCTAGTCCAGCATCCTGCCTCACACAGTGGCCAGCCAGTTCCTCTGGAGGGCCAGCAACAGGCCAGAGAGGCCGAGGCCTTCCCCTGATAGGAACATCAGAAGAGCCCTGCTGGATCAGACCAGAGGTCCATCTAGTCCAGCATCCTGTCTCGCACAGTGGCCAACCTGTTCCTCTGGAGGGCCAACAATAGGGCACAGAGACTGACGCCTTCCCCTGATGTTGCCTCCTGGCTCTGGGATTAAGAGGTTTGCTGCCTCTGAACATGGAGGTTCCCCTCTGTCACCATGGCTAGCCACTGATAGATCTCTCCTCCATGAATCTGTCTACTCCCCTTTTTCAGCTGTTTATGCCTGTGGCCATCACTACGTCCACTGGCAGCGAATCCCACAGTTTAATTGTTGTGTAAAGAAGTATATCCCCTCGTGGCTGCCTTACAGCCTTCCTATACATTTCAGGGTTGGCTAACATCTCTTTTGGGTTTCAGGCCGCCTGGACACCACGCCCAGCACGACAAGATGGATGGCTACTGTATGTTCAACAACGTGGGCATCGCGGCCCAATACGCCCGGCAGAAGTTGGGGGCGGAGCGGTGAGTGATGTGGGCCTGGATCGCACCCTTGGGTTTGGCAGCAGGTATCCTCAAGCTTCTGTGGTCCTGGCGCAGTGGTATCTGTCGAAAAGGTCTCCCTGCTCAACCCGGGCTAAAGACCTTATCGCCAAGAGGCTGGCTAGCTCCAACTTAGAAAAAGTGTTGGAAACACCTGGGCACCTCCAACATTGGTAGTCTGCCACCAGTCTTTCTATGTCCCTTCAGCTAGTAGCCAAAGGACAAACTCCTCACCTTCCCGGGATTACCTAGGGAGTCCTCCCTGCGAGGTTGGCTTTCAGTAGGAAACCCACCAAAGTTACTATTATGGTAGTGGACCGCCAATGTAGGCACTGGCTTTCTTATTGCAGCTGTAGAGACAAAGAGCCAGAGTTTAATATTTAAAATATAATTTTATTAAGGTGCAAGGAGTTATTAAGGTGCATAGAAATTACTTAAATACTGTGAGGAAAGAATACAATGAAACTAGAGATTAAGGGGCCTACTAGACACTTTAAATCCTTGGTTTCTAAAAGACAAGATGTTGTGCATTCAAAGTTCTGGGTCCAAAGCAATGCCCCCTCTAAGCTGTGGAGTCTTGTGAGCAAAAATTCTACTTTGTGAGCCACGGGCATTGAAGTTGTGAGCGAGAGATTTGGCTACTGCATAAATTAGTTTGCTCTGGAGCCCTCCTTCCTGAGCGAAGGCAAAAATGTGTGAGCCAAAGGCTAAAAAAGCTGTGAGCTGGCTCACGCTAACTCAGTTTAGAGGGAATACTGGTCCAAAGCAACTCTTCTCCAGAGTCCCAAAAGCTGAGCTGGTCAGCTTCAGCAACAGAGTCTCAAGATGTCCAAAAGTGAGCAAGACAGTGCCAGCATGTCAGTGCAACATGCAGGCACCATCAAACCCCCAGGATAAGACTTCAATATGGAGGATTTATTGTCTGAGTCCTAGACTGTTGCTAGGCCTTTACACCAATCAGGGTCCAGGCAATATCCTATACCTACAGGTAGGCCAATCAGGGCCAGGTTACTTAATTGGTTCTCTGTCCATGTCGGAAGGGAAGCTCCACTCCCGCCTCCCACAGGGCTAATTGAACGGAATGTTAATTGGGAGAGCTAAGCTGGAGAAGAACATCTGATCTTGGAGGTGCAAGGCCACGCTGTTCTCTTCCCAGCACGGACTGTGTGAAACTCTGGAGACAGAGACAAACGATTTCAGCAAAAAGGCCTCAGCCAGGCTGAACCGAACTTTTCCGAGCAGAACTCCATCTTGAATGGACCCAAATCCTTGACAGTCTCGCTCAGCGGCTCACGAAGAGCCGCGTTTGCAATGGCCCTCAACCAAAAGGGTCCGTATTTCCTTCCGGCCCTGGCACGAGGCCTGTACCTCAGGAAGGCTCACGGTTTCCCCTGGCAGCAGCTGTTTCAAGGTGGGAAGGGAACCACCTGTCAACCACAAGCCCCACTAGGTAAGGGCCTCGGCCACCTACCTGAATCATGGGGCGAGTGCTGTATTGGGAAACGGTGCTCAGAAGAGCCACAGGGGGGCATGTCAGGGAGCTGCAGGGGCCTCTGGAGCCACTGAGCTGTCCTAGCGAAACGCGTGAAGGTTGCGTTCTTCAGCTGATCCTTCACTGCTCTGAGGAGGGAGCCCAGCAGTGGAGCTGCTGTTGCGGAACTTCTTGGTATTTGCAGAAATTTGGACCGATTGTTCAAGAGCAACGTAGTTATTCTAGGTAACCAGTAAGCAGCGCCATGCCAGGTGAACAGGGTTCCCTCAGAGATGATTGATCAGTTCTTCACAGCCATTGCCTATTTGGGCATCTCTCTGATCTTTTCTCTGTGAATTCCTCTTCATAGAATCATAGAGTTGGAAGGGACCTCCAAGGGTCATCTAGTCCAACCCCCTGCACAAGGCAGGAAATTCACAAATACCTCTCCCTCCACACACCCAGTGATTGCTGTTCCATGCCCAGAAGATGACAAAAAAACCTTCAGGATCTCCAGCCAAACTGGCCTGGAGAAAAATTGCTTCCTGACTCCCAAAGTGGTGATCCGCATTTCCCTGGGCGCGTAAGAAAGGGCCACGAGAACTAAGCACTGAGGCAACCCTACCTGCCCTCCCTCTCATGATCTGCTGAAATTCACAGAATCAGCATTGCTTCCCACATCTCTAATTGTACTTTTGTTTCCCTTTCTGTTGACGGGGTTGTGAATTCCTGTGTCCCATTCAGCTACTGCCTTTCCTCAGACCAACGAATCCTAGGAATACTATGGGCTAACTCTCTTAAATCATCCGCTTGGAGCTCAGGATCTACGGCAGTGAAAGTTGAATTAAAAAGGAGGGCCAATGGAAAGTGATCACTTTCAGGCCGACCAATCACTGAGAATGCTCTCACCTCGTCCCAAAGCGACGATGAGATCATTATATAATCAATTACACTGCTTCCTCGGGCCGAAGCAAACGTATAATCCCCAGGAGAGTCAAAGGGAGGTAGACCGTTTAAAATAATTAAATTAAATCTCAAAGTGAGGAGGGCAAGCTGAATGCCCGCTTCATTAATAAATGAGTCTTTGGAGCATCTTAGGTTGAAAAGGCATCCTGATGGTGTATCGTCAGGATTAATACCTATTCTATCAGCCAGTTCTGCCCCACTATGCCCTATTCTTGCATTAAAGTCTCTGACCAAGATAATTTCCCTGGTCGGCTCATCCTGTTCTAGATGTTCCAAGAACTCGCTTAAACACTCAGTGGTATCTGTCGAAAAGGTCTCCCTGCTCAACCCGGGCTAAAGACCTTATCGCCAAGAGGCTGGCTAGCTCCAACTTAGAAAAAGTGTTGGAAACACCTGGGCACCTCCAACATTGGTAGTCTGCCACCAGTCTTTCTATGTCCCTTCAGCTAGTAGCCAAAGGACAAACTCCTCACCTTCCCGGGATTACCTAGGGAGTCCTCCCTGCGAGGTTGGCTTTCAGTAGGAAACCCACCAAAGTTACTATTATGGTAGTGGACCGCCAATGTAGGCACTGGCTTTCTTATTGCAGCTGTAGAGACAAAGAGCCAGAGTTTAATATTTAAAATATAATTTTATTAAGGTGCAAGGAGTTATTAAGGTGCATAGGTAAAGGTAAAGGTTCCGAAACTAGAGATTAAGGGGCCTACTAGACACTTTAAATCCTTGGTTTCTAAAAGACAAGATGTTGTGCATTCAAAGTTCTGGGTCCAAAGCAATGCCCCCTCTAAGCTGTGGAGTCTTGTGAGCAAAAATTCTACTTTGTGAGCCACGGGCATTGAAGTTGTGAGCGAGCGATTTGGCTACTGCATAAATTAGTTTGCTCTGGAGCCCTCCTTCCTGAGCGAAGGCAAAAATGTGTGAGCCAAAGGCTAAAAAAGCTGTGAGCTGGCTCACGCTAACTCAGTTTAGAGGGAATACTGGTCCAAAGCAACTCTTCTCCAGAGTCCCAAAAGCTGAGCTGGTCAGCTTCAGCAACAGAGTCTCAAGATGTCCAAAAGTGAGCAAGACAGTGCCAGCATGTCAGTGCAACATGCAGGCACCATCAAACCCCCAGGATAAGACTTCAATATGGAGGATTTATTGTCTGAGTCCGACTGTTGCTAGGCCTTTACACCAATTAGGGTCCAGGCAATATCCTATAGCTACAGGTAGGCCAATCAGGACCGGATTATTTAATTGGTTCTCTGTCCATGTCGGAAGGGCAGTGGGGTGAACTTCAGCCCACTCCACTCCCGCCTCCCACAGGGCTAATTGAACGGAATGTTAATTGGGAGAGCTAAGCTGGAAAAGAACATCTGATCTTGGAGGTGCAAGGCCACGCTGTTCTCTTCCCAGCACGGACTGTGTGAAACTCTGGAGACAGAGACAAACGATTTCAGCAAAAAGGCCTCAGCCAGGCTGAACTGAACTTTTCCGAGCGGAACTCCATCTCGAATGGACCCAAATCCTTGACAGTCTCGCTCAGCGGCTCACAAAGTGCCGCGTTCTCCATCTCGAATGAACCCAAATCCTTGACAGTCTCGCTCAGCGGCTCACGAAGAGCTGCGTTTTCAGTGGCCCTCAACCAAAAGGGTCCACATTTCCTTCCGGCCCTGGCATGAGGCCTGTACCTCAGGAAGGCTGCTGCCAGGTTTGCCCTGGCAGCAGCTGTTTCAAGGTGGGAAGGGAACGGCCTGTCAACCACAAGCCCCACTAGGTAAGGGCCTCGGCCACCTACCTGAATCATGGGGCGAGTGCTGTATTGGGAAACGGTGCTCAGAAGAGCCACAGGGGGGCATGTCAGGGAGCTGCAGGGGCCTCTGGAGCCACTGAGCTGTCCTAGCGAAACGCGTGAAGGTTGCGTTCTTCAGCTGATCCTTCACTGCTCTGAGGAGGGAGCCCAGCAGTGCCGCAGGGGCCTCTGGAGCCACTGAGCGAGTCCTGCTGTCCTAGCAAAACGCGCGAAGGTTGCGTTCTTCAGCTGATCCTTCCACTGCTCTGAGGAGGGAGCCCAGCAGTGGAGCTGCTGTTGCGGAACTTCTTGGTATTTGCAGAAATTCGGACCGATTGTTCAAGAGCAACGTAGTTATTCTAGGTAACCAGTAAGCAGCGCCATGCCAGGTGAACAGGGTTCCCTCAGAGATGATTGATCAGTTCTTCACAGCCATTGCCTATTTGGGCATCTCTCTGATCTTTTCTCTGTGAATTCCTCTTCATAGAATCATAGAGTTGGAAGGGACCTCCAAGGGTCATCTAGTCCAACCCCCTGCACAAGGCAGGAAATTCACAAATACCTCTCCCTCCACACACCCAGTGATTGCTGTTCCATGCCCAGAAGATGACAAAAAAACCTTCAGGATCTCCAGCCAAACTGGCCTGGAGAAAAATTGCTTCCTGACTCCCAAAGTGGTGATCCGCATTTCCCTGGGCGCGTAAGAAAGGGCCACGAGAACTAAGCACTGAGGCAACCCTACCTGCCCTCCCTCTCATGATCTGCTGAAATTCACAGAATCAGCATTGCTTCCCACATCTCTAATTGTACTTTTGTTTCCCTTTCTGTTGACGGGGTTGTGAATTCCTGTGTCCCATTCAGCTACTGCCCTGAGCACCCTTAAGAAACATCAGTGCTACAGAAGCCATTTGCTTTCACTGCCCTGCTACCTTTTCCAATGACTCCTGAGAACGCAAGAGAGAGGCAGGATTCTAGGAAAGCGATTCTTGCCCTCTTGTAGAATTTCATCTCCCAGACGTCCTTTGAGGGATGTCATGAACACTGCGGATTTGATGGCCTCATCTCTTTCCCAAAGCTGAGCTATGTTAAAGCTCTACCCCCCCAGGCCCATAGCCAGGATTTTGTGGCTTGTAGGGCACATTTTTTTCTGGTGGGGCTGAAGGTCTCAGTGCAGAAAAGCCATTTAGCCAATAGAAAACTGTGACCAGGATAGATCTCTGCATTGCAAGCTGTCAACCACTTTTGATGACAGTCCTCAGCTGCTGCAAGTTAATCACTTCCGTCAGTCTAAGCAACCGTTCTGAGAACAAGCCGGCTGGTGGGGGCGATCACTTCTAGAGTCAAGAGAGCTAACATTTGGGCAGAAAAGCTCTCTGAAAGGAAACCAGTTTCTTGACACAGAGATAGAAGGGATCCTAGAGGTCACCTACTCCAACCCCCTTGCTCAGTGAGGGAATTAGTCAACTACAGCATCCCACTCTGCTTATTTATTTATTTATTTTATTACTTTCGGCTTCTACCCCGCTCGAACCCCCTAGGGGGTCTCTGAGCGGCTTACAGTTACTCTGTTAGCCCTAACTATGGCCACATCTGAATTGGGGTGGGGACTGCCCTACCAGCACCCTGTTGATGGCGCTGTTGTTCTTCTTGATCTTAGTTCGGCATCTCGGCCCATTGCTGGCTCGGCTCCCTCCAGATTGAAAAATAATTTACAGGAGAAATTCTTGTGGGGCTGTGCCTTTAAGAAAGGGGGCAGAACCCCCCTAAAACCCCACTGCAGCTATGGGCCTGCTGCCCCCCAACCTAATTTTTTACATTTTCTCTCGTTTCCAGGGTGCTTATTGTGGACTGGGATGTACATCACGGACAAGGGACCCAGTATCTTTTTGAGGACAATCCCAGGTGTGGAACGAAGGGGTGGCTCTGAATGGGGTGACAAGGGGGGTGGGTGGGTTGCAGAGGAAGGACGGCACTCATCGCCGTACCTTCTCTTTCCCAGCGTCCTTTATTTCTCCGTCCACCGCTACGAAGAAGGCAGCTTCTGGCCCCACCTCCCAGAATCCAACAGCGACGCCGTGGGCAGAGGCCGGGGAGAGGGCTACAACATCAACGTGGCCTGGAACCAGGTAGGAAGAAGCTCCGGCGTAGTCGTGCGGAACCCTCGGTGTTTCCCGTGCCCCGTCTTGACACTGCGGATGCAAGGAGGAAGATGTGTTCTGACTGGACGATGGCTCAGGCTTGGCTCCGGGTTCAAACCCCAGTTTACTTGCAGCCTCAGGGGAAAGCTTCCAGGTCGATCCTGACCGAGCCCCCCCGCCCCCTTTGCATAGATCTCTCTTTGTGCCACAGTTTCCATCTATGTATCCCTCGGGTTTTTTTACTCCATCCTCCCTCCAAGAAGCGGCTTGCTCTTGTTTCCCCTGCCCCGCCCCCTTTCCTTTCTTTCACGATATTCCCATGATGCTGTTAGGCTAAAGGACCGTGCCCGGCCAGTGGCTACCCATTGCCCTTCATGGACGGCGGTGGGGGTGTGGAGAGGAGATTGTTCCCTGGTCTCCCGAGTCCTCGCCTAAAACCCTAACCACAGAACAACGTTGGGTATCCCCCCCGAGGAGGAATTCCCTTCCCTTCTGGGGGCACATACTCCTCCTTTGCCCGGCACCTGTGTGTGAGCTTGCATGAGCGTGCACGTGTTGCGTATTCTCAATAAGTTCTTGCAGGCTCGGAGTCTCTCAAGAGCCGACCCTGCTCTGTCGTTCCCTCTAGACAGGAATGCGAGACGCTGACTACCTCTCTGCCTTTTTGCACATCCTCCTGCCCGTCGCCTTCAAGGTAAGGAGCGTGAAACGGATGGCGCGGCCGTTGCCTGTTCCAAAGACCATGCAGGCTACTACTAAACAACTCGCAGAGTTACTTGGGTAAATGATTAGGAGTGTGCAGATGCTGGGTGACCTTGGGCCAGTCACAAGTTCTCTCAGAGCTGTTCTCTCAGGAGCAGTCCTCTGGAGAGCTCTCTCAGCCCCACCTACCTCACAGGGGTAGG